GTCTTTACATTGATTGTACTCCTAGTTTACTTCATTTAATATTGAGTACTTTGTTGAATATTTCATTCAAGTCTTGACTGGTATTACCAGACTCGAATGGAACCATTAATTAAGAGCAAACATTGATCTTAAAAATTAACTCAATGTTTGAGTTTTCAAACCTTGTCCTTGCTCATTGAACCTTGTACTCACAGGAAACGATAAACAAATCTGATCTAAACTCGACATCTGAAGGATCTAAACTCACTGGTCTATTCAACTTAGTAGAACACTAAAGAAAACATACCTTTGATTTATTTGTTGGTTTCTTCTTTTATCGAGCTAGTGGATTGAACTAGAGAACCCAAAGGAGAGTTCCTCTTCTATGATCACACCCAAGACGCAAACAAGAAACAGATCCAAAGTAATCCTCAAACTTCAAGCACAAAAATAATCGAAATCTTGATTATGTTCTTCTTTGAACACAACCTGAGGATCAGGCTGTCACGACATGAAAGCAATGATTCAGGATTCTTTAGGATTTTAGGATTCCAAAATTTTGTAGCTTTGATATATATGTAACACTTGAATCTTGGTAAGTTTCTCTTTTTCCCTTGTTGAGTTTATTTGTGCATTTTAGTCCTTTAGTTGTATGCGGGGCGTACCACAAGGTACGTTTAGCGTACAAGCTGTAAAGCGAGTACGAGGGGCGTACCAAATGGTACGCTTAGCGTACTCATGCGAAGGTTTGGACGAGGTTTTGGATGCGTACGCGGGGCATACGCAAGGTTTAATGAAAGCCCTAATTTTCAAGTGTGGACACTATATAAACATCATTATGGACCATGAAACCCTTATTTTCTCAGCCTCCTCTGTCCTCCTAGCCCTATACTCAAAACCCTAAGTCTCTCTCTTGCATTTTGAGCTTATAGTGTCCATTTTGGTGTGTTTTGATCCATATTGAAGAAGTAGAAGCTTGGTGCTAGGTGGTGGATCAAGGAGGAGCTTGTGGATCTCGACCTTTTGCTTCATTTCCAGCTTATTTGAGGTAAAAAGCTATGAAATTGATCAATAATGGTTTAGATCTCTTATGTTTGAGTTTTTGTCTTTTTTGGCCCATAAATGAGATCTAGTGGTTTCATACCACTCTAGGTGCTTTGAGATGCCAATCTTGGTGTTTCTGAGGTTCTAGATGCATAAAGTTGTCACCTTTAAGGTTTAGATCCATCCGTGCATGAGTTTATGCCATTTTTGTGAAAGTATAATGTTATATCTTGAAGTTGGGATCTTTTGGGGCATGCAAAGTCACCAAGTCAGTGACTTTATGGTTCTAGACGTCTTTTAGGGCTTAGATCTGTGTTTTGGGCTTATGGTCTTAAGCATTAAGAGCTTAAGACTGATTTTTGGCTAATGGCTTCGTACGTTGGGTGTACAAGTCCGTACGCACAGCGTACAACCCAAGTTGTGTGTACGCTTAACGTACAGCTGAGTACGCCCCGTGTACTCAGTATGTTGGGCTTCGCATCTTTTGGGCCTCGGTTGGGCCACTTCTTTGGACCTCGTTGCTTTGGGCCCTAATGGGCCATCTGGAATCAAGCTTTTCGACTAAGGAAAATTATTAGGCTTTTGGGTAAGGCCCATATAAGGGGATTGAGCTCAATTTGGAAAATTAGGCCATAAATGGGCCATGAATGATTATTTGGTTTTGGGCCTTTTAGATTGTGGATTTGGGCCTTAGTCTTGGATCAAAATAGGTAAAGGGTAAAATGGTTATTTTACCCCAAGTATGGATTATTGGATATAGATTGGAACCCAAGTGTTAATTGGGTGTTATTTTGTACTGATAGCTCGGCTAGTCGTCAGGACAACATCTAGGGATCTTCAGTGAGATTTAGTATTCGAGGTGAGTTTCCTCACAATGTATAGCGAGTCGAAGGCACCAATGCCGACCCATGATCTGATATGTTAGAATACTCATTGCTTGTGTGACACTAGTATGTGTATGTGCTTGTATGCTTTCTGGGCGGGGCCCGATGATTATCCTATATGCTATTAGTTGTTAGGTGTTATGATTTGTATGTGGGCGGGGCCCGTTATCCGAGTTAGGGCGGGGACCATTATAATCATTGGGAGGAGCCCATTATCTGAGTTAGGGCGGGTCCCGCTATACTCATTGGGTGGGGCCTGTTATGTGAGTTAGGGCGGGGCCCGTAATACTCTTTGGACGGGGCCCGCTATATGTTATGTATGTATGGTATGCGGTATTTTAGGGAACTCACTAAGCTTTGTGCTTACGATTTTCAGTTTATGTTTCAGGTACTTCCGATTCCAAAGGGAAGAGTTCGGGTTGACTGTATCGCACACACCATATAGATTCCACATTTGAGATTTCACCCTGATTTTTATGATGTTTGATACACTTATTTTATTCGGGATGTGTGGATAATGTTGGAATAGTGTTTTTACTTAAATTAAAAAATAAAAATTTTGGATCATATTTTCGGGACGTTACAATATATCTCTTAAGTTTCAAAACCATATTTGGAACCCTCTATTTATATGGAGGTTATTTGAAACCCTACAGATAAATACCAAATATACTAGTAATTATCTATGGTATTCAAATCATTCTGGAATATTCTATATTCTATTTATTTATTATTAATTAATTAACAAAACAAGTCCCTCAAATAAATATATTTTCAGATCTGCTTCTTTTTGTTCTTGTGTGTAACCGAAAAAGACATTGCTATTTATAGTAATATTATCGGGCTTTGTTATGACTATGAACATTAATCTCCATCATTTATAATAAATCTTATGTTTGTTTTGAAATGTTTAATATGATATGCTTCTTATACTCAACTAGATTATAAATATCTAAAAGGTTTCAAATTATTCTGGGAGTTTTACTTTGGAATTGGATGATTGCCATTTTGCAATTCCATTCAAGAGTATAACTCCACGTTTACTCATTGCGCTTCACAATTATAATGTTACTATTTTGATATGTACTCACAAATTAAAATTAAGCCATTAGTTAGAGAAGATAGCTTTGATATTCTATAAAGCCACATTCCATATTGTGGTTTCCTTGACTTACGTTTGGATGTTCAGATTATACACCCCCGTATATTAAAGTTTCAAACTTAAACCGTAAAACTTAACTTTTGAGACCTAAATTACAACTCTTTTAAATGGTTAAATGTTTTTCAAAAGATAACTTAATTAATCTTAACCCACACAAGGGTGTTTCAGATGGTATCAAAGCGTTTGTTTAAATGAACTAGGTGTTTAGTTTAGTGCTTAGACTTCGGCCTTAATACTCATTAAAAAGTAGGAAAAACGGTGGTGTGACATTAGGATTAAATTCTAGCGTCTCCTTTATATACTCTAGGATAGAATGAATTTTCTTTAGTATTTGACCTTATCTTGTCTTTAATCCAGAAAAAAAAAATTATACATTACAATCACAAAAGCCTATTTATAGATATTTCGTTACAAGGTTCTATTCCTAACACCATTATTATTCTTGTAAAAGTAGTGTTGGGACTTATATATGAAGTTCAAAGTTTCAAAAGAGTTATACTACATCTACATGGTCCCATAGCATTCTATAGATACTAGCTACCTAGACATTTTCAGAATTAGTGCCTATTGACTTTCATTCATCATGTAGTAACCTCCTTACATTTTTCGTATGAAGTTGAACCTAAAATTTGATGTGTATTAAACCCTATTAGGCATAAATCTTGGCAAGTAATTAATTTAGCAATGCAACACTTATATGATAAATAATCATGAAAGTTCAAGTTGGTCCATAGAAAGTCAAACATGCAATGGTCGAACAAAACTTGTTAATATTATGTAATTCTTCAACTTCCATCTATATAATTAGCACATTTATAATTAATTAATTATTCTATCAATTACTTCATCATTCTAGATATTTTCTTTATTGCTTACTTCTTTGTCGCATTAATCTTCAAAACTCAATATCATTAACACTCAGATCTAGATGGTTAATCATAACTTTTGATAACCACATGTAATTACTTTGACTAATTTCATAGTTATCCAACAATTTCAATCAACATTCACAGTAATTATTATAGTCACCATCCTTAATTTACAACACAATGTCTATTATAAAAAATTTAGACGAAATCCTTAAAAAGAATAACAGTGATTTCAGAAATGTATCCATTGATAAAAGACCCAACTAAGTACGTTGCTATTATATGTATAATTGAAATTATAGTGTTATTATGTGTATGGAAATTAAAGTACAATCGTATTATGTTTAAAAAAATAAAGCACATTGTTGTCATATGAAACACATGGAAGTATGTAGCTATTATGTATAAATAAATATAAATATTTATGCTTATTTCGAGGTTTCGGTTACAAGAACCGAAACTTTTGCTTAAAAAGGGATCGGTTACTATAAAAGAATGTGGAACTTACAAATAACGAAAATTTTCGATTATAGTTTCAAATCTGTGGATCTTGTGTTCTCTAAAAGAAAATGGAACCTTTAGGTTTAAAAGGGTTTGGTTGTGAAACGGGATTATTTAACTTCTTATTATTGGACTTCATGACGTGTGTTGTTGTAATACTTTATGCTTGACTGTTGGCTTTTACTCATGTACCTCTCACATGATGACTTTAAGTTGGGTGTGGCATGATACTAATTTGAACTAACTTTTACCTTTGAACTGATCATCGTAAGCAATTAGTTTAACACAAATAATATATTTTATAATTGTATGGATAACTGGAAAGCAACCTGATCATTTGCCAAAGAAGACAAAATATTACAATAGCATGCAGTACAACGGTACAACAGTACAAGCATGAACTACGAACCACAATTTGTTGTTGAACTAAAAGCACTCCAACATACTGTTCATCATAAACTAAAAGGGACTTAATACACAAGGAACCATTTTTAATTAGTGCATGCATGCATGCGTAACTTATTCATAAATCTTCCAAGAAAAAGATAAGTACGTATTTTCTTATTTGCGATCATCTCCTCCACCTCCACGCCCATGCCCAGACCCAGACCCAGACCCATAGCCACTTCCCTCACCAGACCCTCCTCCACGTCCACCACCTCCACCTCCACCTCCACCACCGCCACCACCGCCGCCACCTCCGCCTCCCCGGCCTCCTGAACCAGATCCAGCATGAGAACCAGCAGAGGAGCCAGCTTCTGAGCCTGCTCCTCCCCCTCCTCCTCCGGAAGAACTAGAGCTCGAGGAGCTGGAAGAGGAGCTAGAACCAGAGCCTCCTGCACCTGCACCAGACCCTGACCCTGAACCACCTCCTCCCAGTCCAATACCAATTCCAGTACCTATACCGATACCTACTCCACCCAAATCCAAACCCAAGTCCTTTCTCGCCACCCGACTCTCTGACACCATGACTAAAGTTGAAAGTACTAGCAAGCTAGCGAGGCTCATTGCTTTCATTTTCGCCATATACCTTAAGCCTTATTTATCAAAAGAAATGGTTAGCTTATTTTGTTTGGTGATTGCTCCGAAACCATAGGTCTACTTATAGGTGCAGAGGGTGGGTGAATAACTAAAAACAACGTGAAAGTGGTGGACACATGGATCGATTATTAACATTGGTATTTCGGTGTTGAAAACTGGTGAATGACAATTTTTTGGTCCCCACCATTTTTTGTTTTTTTTGAGAAATTTTTGCTTATGTTTTCTCGCCTAAAAACTCGGTGAAGTGTGAAAGAAGCATAGAATTGTGGCTGAAAATGGGTTGAGCATGCTAGTGGATACTCGTATAGTGGCCAATGTTACCATGATTGGCATTATTGTTGCTCAACCCATGATCGATTGCACTTTAAATCATAGTGGAACTCTCCAATTATTTACTTACATTTAAAAAACTATAAAATCCACACCAATCACCATCCAAAAGTCCAAATAAGATGTGGTTAAAACCAAGAAGATAAGGATCTCCCGCCAGCTGACCTCAAAATGCGGTAGAGATTATCTGGAAGAAGAAAAAAAACTCGTTTTGAAGTGTTTGTCGATGATATGAAATTCGTAAACGGGGCATTTAAGAACTCTAGTCGCTCGCTAATTACTGTATAATTCAAAACCATGATAGTATAGTTCAAAATATTTAGGTTATCTTTTAATTAAGTTTCGGCCAAATATGCTGGTGTTTAGATGTGCGTTTTGAATGTGATCATGTGTTAACTTAATTAGTTAATCCACGTGTACATATATGTTTTGGCTGACAAAGTGACTGTCACCGAGCGTTTCCAGGCCATGAATCCGACTCCATTAAAGACACTTGAGACTAGAATCGCACTTGGATTATCTTATGAACCAAGGAAATTAGTAAGGATTTGAATTATCATGAACAGAAGAATTGCCCGCATCTGATTGAGACATAATTGCTAAATCGATTGAAGAAATCAGATCAAAATTGAAGAAATTAATGAAGAAATGAAAGAATGGAAGGATCATTGCTCTATACCATGTTTGAGTTTAGAGAGGGAAAGGGAGAAACTTCATTCATTTCATTGAAGAAAAAGTTACAGAACAAATGAGAGGATTAAACTATATGTATGTACAGAGACTAACTGATTAAGCTAATGAGTGAATAACAAATATGTAAACGTGGATTAACTAATTAAGTTAACATCATCTAATATATAAAGTGATCAAAATTATGTAATTCGCCTCGAGAAAACAGGATTCGGGCACACATATAGCAGGCACATAAGGCATCCTCCTAGATCCTTAGTCCTATTCTAGCATGCTGTTCTGATAAAGCTAATACACATATAATAGGCACATAAGGCATCCTTCCTAAAACTCCCGTGCTAACTGCTGTACCTCAATCACTGGCGCAAACTCAGCCCTGAACCTGGCCGAGAAATCACTCCATGTCATCGCGTCCAACGTGGCATCCTCACCCATGGCATGACCAACCTCCTCCCACCAATCCCGTGCTCTGTTCTTCAAAAGACAGGAGGCGAGTCTGACCTTGTCCCCCTCGGAACACTGGCTCGCGCGGAAAGCGTTGGCAACATCTGCCAACCATCTGCTACTAGTAATGGGGTCCCTATCCCCATGAATAATCTGGTGCTCCACAAGCTCTAAACTCTCGAAATGTCAATGTACGCGCTCCTAGCAAAGCCATCATCTCTGCGTGAAAGGCTCCAAGCCTCTCATCCAAAATCTCTAGTATACCCTCATTGACCGTACCAAAGATCACAGGAGTCTGATCTAGAATACTGCGCGTAACCTCAGCTGAAATAAACTCCCTCATCCGCTCCTCGAGCTGCTCGATCCCTGAACCCGAGCCTGATCCCTCTCCGGCGCCTGATCTGCCTACTGGTCTCTCACGCAATGTCACCATGCTGAAAGCATAACACAATAACTATTAAAATACACTTCACTGCTGAGGGATTACACATACACACTACAAGTTCCCTGGCTTTGTCTTGGCCCCTCTTGAATCGAGTACGGATCCTCTACTTTCAGTAGTACGAGCCCATACTACCTTCCACATCTATCCGTACTTTCTTCAAGAACTGCCTTGACTCTACCAAGTCCCTTCTACTGCTACTGATCTCTGCTACTCTCATCCTAGGCTTGCCCTAGGTAAAATCTCTGACTCCACCCAAACCAATCCTCAGCTGCTGAAGGCCTCCTTGTAATGCCAATTAGCCATCACCTGAATACCATCACATGTGACGAGGCTCAGATAATCCTTCGAGTAAAAGACTCGTCCCTACAACGGTTAAACTCAAACGAGAGCTGCGCAATAGGGCCAAATCCAGCACTCTGAGATTATTCAACCCTGATCACATGTGACGTGACGTATTCACCTGATGGCTAACTCCCATCACTCAGAGTCCTACAAAGCACAAAGCAAGCAGCATTCGGACACAGGAAACTACTCAAGCAAAACTATTCGCATAACGAGAAACTGTACTAGCATACAATGCTAAGCTCATACTATCAGGCATAACCTAAACAGGCTATCCTACTACTATCTACTCAATACTAGCATGCAATTCTCATAAAGCCGAAACACATATAGTAGGCACATAAGGCATCCTCCTAGATCCTTAGTCCTATTCTAGCATGTTGTTCTGATAAAGCTAATACACATATAATAGGCACATAAGGCATCCTTCCTAAATCCTTAGTCCTAATCTAGCATGCTGTCCTACTGAAACTGAAACCGATAATCATAACATAAACTTGTATGGGTAATTTGGGAATACTTACTTGAACTCGGCTGATTGCATGCACCACACCCTTTTCTCTTTTCAAAATTCTTTTTGCTTTTTCTAAAACTCTTTCCTTTATACTTTTTCTGAAATTTGTTTTCTTTTCTCAAAATCCTTTTGTAAACATGGTTTTTCTCTTGAAAACTTTATACCACTTCCTTAGTTTGAGTTCAGACACACCCGAAAGTGTGCCCGAATCCCTCAAACCAAGGCTCTGATACCAACTTCTAACATCCCAAAAACACAGTCTGAAATTTTCGTTTAATTTAATAATAAAAACCATAGTCGATAAACCTCATATAAAAATCATAAGCAATGTATCCCAAAATATTATAACAACTGTCAAATATATCAGAGTATAAACATCCCAGGCTGAACAAATGGTGTGTGCACTGCAATCTTCCCGAGTTCCTCTTTTGAAAACTGAGTACCTGAAACCAAAACTGAAAACTGTAAGCACAAAGCTTAGTGAGCTCCCCCAAACTACCACATACCATACATAACATATAAAGCAACTACTCGGCCTTGCCCACTGCATCGGACCGAAGTCCGGACTAACTGCATCGGACCGAAGTCCGGAACTAACCAGGGCCTTGCCCTCTGCATCGAACCGAAGTCCGGAGACTGCATCGGACCGAAGTCCGGAACTAACCAGGGCCTTGCCCTCTGCATCGGACCGAAGTCCGAAAACTGAATGAACATAGCATAACATAATCATAACTACTAACATAACACATATACAACATACTGCATCGGACCGAAGTCCGGAACACATAACACAAAGACATGCTTGAATCATAAAGACCTCAAGAACACTGAACTACTGCATCGGACCGAAGTCCGGAACTACTGCTAACTAAACGGGCTGGCATTATGGTCGTAGACCCATTCCTACTGGAAGGAAACTCACCTGTACTGCTGAACTCTGCTGATAATCCTCGGGCTGCTAATCGACTATTCTCGGAAGCGCTGCTCTCCTAGCTCACCGAGCTACCAACACCAAATAATAGAACTTAGCCTAACTGTCCTCCAGAGGTCAACTAAGTCAACTCTGGTCAAGGTCCTGGTCAAAGTCAACCTTCCAGTTGACTCGACTCGCCGAGTTGTTCTACCAACTCGCCGAGTCCATGCTCCTCAAACTCCAAACAACCCCGACTCCACTCGTCGAGTCTAGCGAGAACTCGACGAGTTCTCCTTCATCTAACACTTCGGGACTATCTTCAACCGACTCGCCGAGTTGTTCTACAACTCGCCGAGTTCATCTTCATCAGCTAAGAAGATTGCCTTGGACTCGTCGAGTTCCTCCTTGAACTCGTCGAGTACCATGATCTTCATGTCCATCACGGACACAGACTGGCTGAGTCCTTTTCTAACCCCACTCACTGATCCGACTCATAAACGGAAGGGTTTGGGTTTTGCGACCCGACTCGCCGAGTCCATAAGCTGACTCGCCGAGTCCTCCTTGTGACAACTCTAGTCTGTCGATTTCAGTCTATTCCAACACTTCCAACTCATAGATCTGGACTCCTTATGCTAGCATTGCACGTAAAGTTGCTGACTTTACGTGCATGCAAGGGGTTATGAGGCTAGAACACCAAAATCAAGCTATAATGGAGGTCTAAGTCATGAAAGGAAGCCATAGTTGAGTAAAGCTTCTCACTCAGAGCTTCTAGAGCTTAGAAATGCTCAGATCTAATCTCTATTCATCCTTAAAGGCTCAATACTCGGGTTGGCCTTGGGAATGGTCCCAAAGTCTCATAAAAGGGACATGAAGAGATCTAAGAAACCATAGATCAAGGTAAGAGCTTGATTACCAGAAAGTGATTAGGAAGAGGGGCTCCTTCTGGATCTACAATCACTCCTTAGCTCTTCCAACTCCTTCTTCTTCTAGACTTCAAATCACTCAAGAACACACAATAATAGCTCACACTTCCATGGAGGACATTAGGGTTTCGCTCTGGATAGTGGGGGCTGTAAATGAAACCCTAGAAATGAGAATGAGATGCTTAAATAGGGTGCCAAGTCCCGAAATTAGGGTTTCCCAACCCAGACCAGACTCGTCGAGTCAGTCTCCCCGACTCGCCGAGTCGGTCACTTAATCCGCGACACGGGTCACGCTCCGACTCGTCGAGTTCCTCCTTGGACTCGACGAGTTGGCTCCTTTGACTTGGGGCTTTTCTTTCCTTTCCTGGTCCTCCT